AAAATTTGTTAACTTTACATAAATGCTCATTAACTATTTTAAAAAGTGTTTTAATATTTCTGTGAGAATAAAAAAGATTGTAATCATCAGTAAACAAAATTAGGTCTAAAAGATTTGTTGCTTAGCATAAGTCGTTTATGTACAATAGAAATAAACGTGGTCTTAAAATAGAGCCCTGAGGAACCCCGCAAATTATGGAATATAGAATTGTGCTACTTTGAACATAGCCTATTATACATTATTCTTTCTAGCAATTTCGAAAAACAAGGTAGTATAGATATAGGCCTGTAATTTAAAATATTTGAATTATCTCCAGGTTTTAAAATTGGTGTTATAATGACAATTTTTAGTTTGTCAAGAACTTTACCTGTCTTAAATAAAAGATCAAAAACATGAAATAAAGAAGGTTCAATAATATCAAATACTGATTTGACAATGTTAACACTAATTTTATCAAAACCTTTACTTTTTTTACTTTTGAGACTCTCAGCTCGCTAAGTTTTAAACTAGTGTCTTCCATTATTATATTATTCCAATTAAGTTATTAATTGCATTCCTTACTTTTTTGGTGTATTTTTGTTTTTCAAATATATTTTTGTACCTTTTATAGGCTTCATTTTTATAAGTTTTTTTTAAGATACTTTATATATAATTTTTCCTTTTTTTTTTTGTGTGAAGGTTTTAGTAAGCTATTATCACATATATAGGATGATAAATTATTATTACATAAAAATAAATATCTCTGTAAGGTGGATAGTCAAAATAGAGCATTGAGTATAGTTAGTTTTTCCGATGACCTTGAACTCAGTGATAATGGTTCTGAACCCAAACCAGTGTATGTTATACACAATTTAACAAGAGAAGCAGTAAACAATATACTACTAATTCTAATGCAGTCTGGAAATTTTGAAAAATGTGACTGTATAACATACACTGTTATATGGTCACATTTTCTTTTTTCAAGCTGGTCCAAGAAATTTATTCATAGCGGCCCACTTTAAATATTTAATATAGTAATTAACATACCATACAGTGGCGCCAGGAGTCTTCACGCCGCTCAAGACACTACCCTGAGTGGCGCCTTTATTTTCTAAATTTACCTTTATTATCAGTAAAAGACTTTTTTATTTTTTAGTGCTTTTTTTAGTATTTATGGTTATTTTATGTATAAAAAAGTACTTTTAAATTTCCCAGCCTAAATATTGATAAAATATAAATATTTCTAAATCACTGTTGTAAGTTGGAGTCTAGAAATAGATGATTTCATTATTTAACTCAAGTAAATGATAAAATTTATATATATATATATATATATATATATATATATATATATATATATATATATATATATATATATATATATATATATATATATATATATATATATATATATATATGTATATATATATATATATATATATATATATATATATATTTTTTTTGTTCTTTTATTACATGTAAGCATTTCGTTACAATATTTCAAATACAAATATATAATAATAAATTTATATATAAATATAATCGTCGTTATTAGAAAATAAAAGAACGCGGGGACTCGTAGAAGACCATACGGTCTTGTCGTCGAGTACCGCTAAGAAATGTTCGTGTTAAAATTAAAAAGATAATTACAAGGTTAAAAAATAAAAATAAGTTAACAAAAGTAAGAAACTTAAAATAATCCATAATAATACAAGATGCGTTTTATCTATTATACATGTAAATTATAGTTGTTAAGGATACACATATACTTTTTATAAGTTCATGTTTAAATAAATGGTAAAAATAAAGATCACAAAAAATATCAGAAGTATATTGTTAAATCATCGATTGCAAAAATGAGTTCTTTAAGCTTTTGTTTAAAAGAAAAGTTGTTACTTTGATTAATAAAATCCTCAGTAAAATTTTTTAAAACTATTTTGTTCCATAAGAATGGTCCGCGATAATCAATACAAAATTTAAAAAGATTTGTTTGAAAATTGGGCTGCTTAATAAAATTATTATTGCGTAAAATGTATTTATTTTTATCTTTTGATGAATACAAATTATGGAAAGAAATGGGGAAAGAATTGGTTTTACATTTAAACATAAAACAAAGAATATTAAAAATATTAATCTCATATATATTAAAAACTTTCATTTCAAATAAAAGAGGCTTGGCATGAGTATAACGGTGTTTAAAATATATAAGACGTGCTACATGCTTCTGCTGACAATAAAGAGGTTTAAGTTTGTTTTTATTTGCACTACCCCAAGCAATGTTTGCATAGTTTATGTGGCAATGAATAAATGAGTGATATAATTGTACTAAAGTTTGTTTATTTAAGACATTTCTCGCTTTGTACAATATTCCTATACTTTTTGAAATTTTACTTAATAAGTTTTTAATGTGGTTTTTCCATGTAAGATTTTCATCTAAACAAACTCCTAGAAAATTAGTTACTGTTACTTTTTTAATTTGTATATTGTCAATAACAAGTGGAGGCATGTTAATTGGCAGTTTATGTTTTTTGGTAAGAGGGTGGAAAAGAATCCATTTAGTTTTATCAATGTTCAGGGATAGTTTGTTTGTCTTAAACCAGTCAGATATTTTGAATAACTTGATGTTCACGTTATGAAATAAAGTAGGAATGCTTTTGTGAGACATAAATAAATTAGTGTCATCAGCAAACATAATTGTTATTAAATTCGAGGCCTTGTATAGATCATTAATATAAATAAGGAAGAGAAGAGGTCCTAATATGGATCCTTGAGGAACTCCACATGTAATATTTAACAAACTTGATGAAAATGATTTATCAGCATAAACAAATTGTTTACGATTAGTTAAATAACTTTTCAACCATTTTAAAACATTGCCTATTATACCATAATATTCTAATTTTTTAATAAGAATTTGATGATCAATTGTATCAAACGTTTTCGCTAAATCAATAAATATTCCCAATGTAAATTTAGAATTGTTAAATGAGTCTGATTTACTTCTTGTAAGCTGAATAATTGCATACTCTGTTGAATTATTTTTTTTGAACCCATATTGCATGTTATATAATAATTAGTTTGTTAAAAGGTGATTGTATATTCTGTTGTACAAGATTCTTTCTAAAATTTTAGAAAAAACAGAGAGAATGGAAATACAAAAAGAACTGCACTAGCCCAAAGTTTTCATTTCGAGATAATCAATGTTTAAGTTTTAAAAAAATAAAATAATACTAGTCCATCTTTCATTCATTATAAAAAATAATGAAAGAAAGAAAAAAAAGAATTCTGTACCCTCTAAAAAAGAGGGTACAGAATTCTTTAAAAAATATTTTATTAGGAGATCATATTTAGTGAAAATACCCCCAAAAATGGGGTTTGCTTCAGACACAATTACTCCAGAGTAAAAGCTTATTCTTCATTTAATTTTTTAAGTTATTTCTTTAATTTCACACTCATATCACTTCTAACTTTAAAATAAAATTTGTATCTTTCAAATAAAAAAAATACTCTTCCAGGCATATTATCGTTTCGTTCAAAAAAAAAAAATCTCTCCAAAACCTGGAAAAAGATTGTTATTTGATTCAAAATCTTTTTTATAGAACGCCAAGCTTTTGATATGCAAATCACATTAAAACAATTGATGGTTTCTAAAATTATAATCTCAAAATCCTTTTTAAATTCACTTAAAATTCACCAGAATGACATTTAAATAATCTTTATCGTTTCGATAAATTATGACGTTAAAACAATTTCGTCATTAGATAAAATAAATTGCTGTATACATGAATACAATATTTTATTTTATCTAATAATTATTTCAAAAGAACGTTCTCCAAGCAACATTTTAAATATAATTTTGTTACTTTTCCTATACAAGAATGGTATTTTCTATTATTAATGATATTACTTATCTAATGAATATTGTAAAAGAAATTTCGCCAATTGAAATTAAAAAAAAAAAGCTATAATTATCATATCTTTTATTAAGGAATACGATAATAAATACAAAACTCTTATTTTCAAAACTCTTATAATGTATGATAATACCATTCTTATTTTTAATTTATTTAACAAACAAATTGCAAATAAGAATGGTTTTCTTATTTTATAAATTCTTATTTGGAATTTATTTAATAAACAAATTGCAAATTAGATAGGTAATATCTCGTTAAGAGGTGCGATAATACCATTCTATATTCTGCAATTTATTTATTTAAGTTATTGTTTTACAAGAATAAAAATAAAAGCATCTTATAAAAATAAAAAAGACGCATGCACGTTAACTAAAAAGTAAAGAATAAAAAAAATTAATTATTTTGACTAATAGTAATGACTAATAGTAATGACATTTTTAATAGTAAAGTAGGACTTTTAGTTATGGGGTTTGATTTTGGTATAATGAAATAAAAACAGTTTAATATTGCTTGATATCGAGGGAAAAATTCCTGTTCACCGTTTATAAGAGAATGAAACATACTCAGGTTACTAAATATTTCATATTATAACTACATAAGGTTCTCAGAACTGACTGAAATGTGTCAAATACTCGACTAGACGACTATGTTCCTCAAAAAACCGCTATAATTAGAAAATCGCCTACATTGGGAGGGGTGTCTACACGGGTGTCACACACACATCTCTGTTCGCCTCTGTTTTAAATCAAAAATAAATTTAACAAATTAAAACATTAAATTGCAAATTTTTACAAATTTAATGCTTTTGTTGCATCTAAGCGAAAATAAAAAACTTTTTAAGTTTTTTAATTAATGTTTTTACTTGTTTTTATTAAAAAAACAAAAAAACACACACTAAAATCAATTAATATAGTTACAATTATCCAAAATTCTGAAAATAATAAAAATATTTAAAGTAAAAACAACATTTTACAACTTATATTATATAATATATTATATATATAACTAGATAAAAATTAGAAAAATTTAAAATTATAAAAACAATATTAAAAACCAATAGTATTTGTACACGCACTATATTTGTAATACCCTCCAATAAAAACAACTTTATTCACTTCTTATCCATCGCTTCGTGAATTGATCAATAAAAAAACGATAACTCCGCTTTATACGGATATCTTTTACATTCCTTGAACATTGCTTAATAAGATCTTTTTCTTTATCAGTTAATAAATTTTTGTCAATTTCTAAAGATGTCAACTTCCCTCCTGAGTTAACGAGATGGTTTACAAAATATTTTTCACATAAAACTTCATAAGATGTTTTTGTACCATTTATCAAAATCTTCCACTTTCTTTCATCAATTGATGCTTTAATATCGTCTGTAATAGTTGCTTGCGATTCAAAAAAACATTGCATGAACAACTTTTGTTTATCTTGATACTCACGATCACCTGAGAAACGTAGTTTAATAATAAAATAAAATATCAACATTTTTGTTAGCAAATCATTTTCAATGATTTTTTAACAATTAATTAAAATAGAATAACTTAACGAAGAATCAACAATTAAACAAATCATTGAACTTTACACAACAAAAAAACAATCGATTAAAATTTACAGAATGGTTACAATTTACAGAGAACTATTTTTCGTTATAACTTATTTGAACTGTAAACAAATAACAAAAATATCAAAATACGTTGAAACAAACAAATAATTTCCTTTAAAAAAAAAGGGAATTAATTTTTTGTATATTATATTATATAAATCTAATTATTAGCTAAATTATTATTGAGTTAAAACTACAAGTTTTAACTCAATAATAATTAGCTAATAATTAAGTTCGCAACGAGGGAGCATGCTAATAAATAAGTTCGCCACGAGGGAGCATGCAATTCAGAACTAAATAAAGTTGGGTGACGGTGGCCAGCAAAAACTCAAAAAAGCCAAATGATCAATTAATAGTTATCAATGCAATTGATAAACAACAAAAAAAGAAGAGGGAAAAAATACAATCATTTTCGGAGTTGGAGAATCAAGTAAAACAACTATAACTGACAAAGCAAATAATGATATTTAGCAAGTTACTGAAATTCTTCATACTATAAATAAGGAAGAAATCAAACCTATTCACGTTAAAAGGTTGAAATCTTGAACAGATAAACCAGGTCCAGTTGTAGAAGAACTACCAGATTAGGCAGATCAAAATCCAATATTAGCTGCAACAAAAAATTTAAAAGAGAACTATAAATTCGGAAACATGTTCATCAGTCAAACTGAAGCAGAAAGATTACTAGACTTTTGACTGCTAACTAAACGGAATGAAATAAATAATTTATTTCATATGGGAAACGAAGTTGTAAAACTTAAAGTAATACAGCAAAAATAAAAGTAATGAATTGAAATGTTGGTACACTAGCGTCACAACTTTGGAAAACAAGCGACTGGAATGTCAAGTTTTTTTAAGATTACATTAAATAGATATCATTGCACTGACATAAAGGTGGTTTTCTAGCAACTCAATACCAAATCATAGATGGCTATTTATTATAAAAAAAAGATATATGTGATGGAAGAAGAGGTGGTAGCGCAGCTGTCTGCATAAAAAAGATTTTATGCAATATGAAGTTACATTTCTAAATATTGAACCAAACCTTGAGATAATATGGGTAAATATAGTAAAATATGGAGAGAAAATATCAATTGGATGTATATACTCCCCAGGAAATTCGATTTTAAATAAACAATTAAATGATACAATAAAAGATGCTAAAATTGAAATCAATAATAAAGTACAGTGGGGAGCCAAATTATTAGTTATAGTTCGTTTTTTCACAAAAACTACAATTAAATATGGATTTTAAATTAATAAATTTGCTTCTACTCTTACATTCTTTAAGATTTTATCATCAATAATAGTTTTTTATATTTTTCTCATGAAGTTGTAACATTTATAAATAATTGTGGCATTCTTTACCATTAATATAAGCTAGAATATGCAAAAACCTGCAAAATTTCTTTTCTCTTTTTGCACAATCTTTGCAAATTATTATTTGCACGATAATGCATGTGTAATAAATAAAGTTTTTGTCAACTATTTAGTGTTTTTGTGATTCTGAAATATTTTTTTTAACATTAATTAGTAATTTTAAATAAAAATGTTTGAACTTTATGACTAAAAATGGGAAAAGCTAAAGATATATCAAACGAAAAAAATTCAGTATTATCTGCTTTATTAAAACATTTAAATCATATTTAGTTAATGTTTCTGTGATGAGAGTAAGAAGAATCCGAGGTAAACTTGATTAAAAAAATACTTGTACAAAATGCCAGAAAATGGAAAATATGAAAGACAACGCATCACTACCCTGAAAGATGAACAGGCAATTTATTACAATTGTGTTAAAAACGAAAAAAAAGTACAAAAGCAGTTAATAAAATCATATAAGAAACCAGTATCAAGATTTCTAACAAAACTACAAGGCATTGAATAGCAGAACTGAGTTTTAAATGCTACAGACCTGGAGGTCTAAACTTATGCCAGCGATAAAAATAAAACAAATTACTTAGGTTAAACAACACCTTCACCTCTGCTGAAGATTTGGAAAATGTAAGTAAATACTTATTTAATAGTTCATTGCAACAATATCACTGAAATATTAATGGATAAGCCTTCTTCAGTCAGATGAAGAAAAGAAGAAAAATATAACCCAGACTGTGTTATGGAGACGGTAAAACACCCTCTAAATGGTAAGGGGAGTGGCCTTCTTTATACAGTTAAAGGGATGAAAAACCAGGATAAATATAAAAAAGTAGCTACTAAATTATTTTTTCAGCTACATGATTGGTTTCCTGATCCATCCAAATGAATCTTTTTGCATGATTCTGCCAATGTCATAAAGCTAATTCGGTGAAAAGATATTTAGAGCCAAAAAATATTACTGTTTTACCATGACCTTGCAATTGTCCCGACTTAAACCCAATAGAGAACACCTGTGAACTTTTAAAGCGGATAATTGGGCATGAAACTATAACTAACAAAAAAATCTCATATAGGCACTCAATAATGCCTTGCATAATGATCAGGAATTAAAAACAAATGTAAAAAATTGCATCTTAAGTATGGCAAGAAGAATACAAACAGTAATTGATGCAAAAGGTTACACAACCAGATACTAAAAATCATTTTGTACGAGTTTTTTTAAATAAATGTTTAAAAATAGTAGTAGTGTTTAAAATAGTGTCTTACTTTTTAAAGAAAAATATTTATTTGAGCTAGTAGCATCAATATATTTATATAAAAATTTAACATAATAATTCATAAAAGAGCTTATAATAGTTAATATGATATTTTTTCAAGTGTAACTAATATTTCGGCCGCCAACTGCATATGCAAGTTTGTTAGTGATAGGAGACTTTAATTATCCTAAAATTATATAGTCAATTGGTTTAATTGAAGACACTAGAGCAAGTGATAATGAACTCAACAAAGAATTCGCTCGTACTGTAAATAAATCTTCATTGTATTAACATGTTAGTGATGCAATGTTCTTTAACAATAGTATTATGCCTATAACTTAACGTTCACTGAAAAACCTAACAACATATTTGAATCAATACATTTACCTCATCTTGGCAACACCAAACAAGAACATTCTTTATTAATATGTTAATTAGCCATCAACAGTGAATTGACTAAAAGCGAAAATAAAGCACCAAAAAAATATTTTGACTTTCATAATGGAAACTTTTTTGAAATAAGTAGAGTGATTGAAGGAATAAACTGGACAATGCATTTACTCAAATATTATAGAATCTCTTACACCACAACAGAAATCATAATGCCACTAGATCTCCCTGGATCACATGAGAAATGTGCATATCAAAAGGTCTCTATTGTTCAAATTATATCTAAAAAACACTAGACAGGCTAAATCCAAAATAAAATATAAAGCAGTGTGCAAAGACTTTATGAGTAAAGTACTTCAAGCAAAATGCTTATTTGAAAAGAACCTGGTAAATAAATCAACCCACAATCCAAAACTACAATTCAAATATATTAACAGCAAAAAAATTTTTAAAAATACCATCAGAGCTTTAACACTCAATAATGAATTAATTTAAGAACTTAACCAAATAGTTAACATTATGAATGATCACTTTAAATCAGTCTTTGCCAGGGAGAATACCAATAATTTACAGAATCTAAAAAATGCTTTTTGTCTTATCCTTGTAAGGCAACAATAGATAGTACAATGTCAGTGAAATTAAAGATAACTTCTAAATTTAAATTAATATAAATCTCCAGAACCAGACATGGTAAAATCAATAGTACTAAAACAAATGTCCATTTGCCTTTGCTTTACCGCTCACTATGATTTTGGAAAAATTGCTCAAAACTGGAAAAATACTAATTAAATGGAAATTGGCAAACATAACTCCAATATTCAAAAAAGGAGATAGGCTAATTACTAGCAATTACAGATCAGTTTCATTAGCCTCAATAGTCTCTGAAGTACTCAAAAGTATATCCAACATAATATATAAACATGCCAACTAATGATTCATTAAATAAACATCAACATGGATTTGTAAAGAAAAAATCTTGTTAAAACAATGGGAAAACTAGTTCAAACAAATCTAGTTAAAACAATGGACTTTTGAGTAAATTGCTAGCAGAAAACATTCCAGTAGATCTTGACTTTACTAAAGCCTTTGACACGGTACCTCATGAACGATTGTTAATCAAACTTAAGTCATATGGAATATCAAATGTCATATGCAACTGGATTAGCAACTTTTTAACTAATCAGTTGATACAAATGAGTGATACAAAGAAATGAAGCATCAAACTGGGAAACGATAACAAGCGGTCTCCAAGGATTGGTAAATTTCTCTAACCTTATAATACATATCAATAGTTTATCAGAGATTTTAGAACACTCTAAGCTCTTTGCTGATGACACTAAGTTAATCAGAAAAGAAGCTAACTCTGAGGATGATCAATAGCTTCATAATGAAACTAACGAAGTGCCCAAATGGCCCAAGATCTAGCAATTACAATTTAATAGTGAAAAACATTGTACTATGCATTTTGGAAAAAATAAACTTCGCTATATTTATAAACAAAATCTGACAAAATATTAGCAGTCTGATACCAAAAAAGATTTTAGAATTACCATTATCAAATCACAAATAAAAATTTCAACCAATTGCCGTAAATTAATTGTATATCATAACCAATTGTACATCAAAAATGTACAAAATGTTTAAGATACTGTGTATAACATATATAAGATCCCATCCTGAATTTGCGATACAAGCATGGTACACATATACTTAAAATGATTTTATAGCACTTGAAAAAGTTTAATGTTATGCCACTGAATGGATACCCTAGATTCCAAAACAAAATTATGAAACAAGAATTTAAATACTTGGCTTAAGCACACTGGAAAAAAAGACATAAAAAACTTAATTCAAATGTACGAACTATTTAAAATAATAGATAGTATAAAAGTAGATAGTAATATATTTGCCTTGTGTTAATAAAGGCAAATATATTACTCATAATTTCAAAATCAGGAGAGAAATTGTTAAAAAATGCAATCTTTGTCATGAATTCTTAACCAATAGAACTCTATCAATGAGCAACAAACTACCAGATTTTATTATCAAAAAGCAAAAGCTTGAACTTATTAAAAACTCGCATTGATAAATATCTAGAGCTATATTAATTGTAATTTATAATTTAATTCATTTAGCTAGAAAAACTGAAAACTGTATATGCTGTCAAAGTGAAATTAATTACTACTAATTTCACTAACAGTTTTCAAAATACTAGAACTTTTTATTAAATTACACATTTATGTTTTATAAAACCTCTATGAAAGTACTATTCTTTTGAGACCCAGGTTGACATACTTTTGAATAAGTTAATTTTGGATAACTTTTTTGTTGACAATATTAGGGATTTTACCCCAAATACTAATGATTTGAACCCAAATATCTTTACAACTTGACGCAACAGTAAAAAACAAGTTGCATATTTGAAATCAAAATGAGAAATGCTGTAGGAAAAACTTATTGTTTGCTTAGCATCAGAAAAGTTTTTTTGTTGACCTATGTTATTATGATCTATGTTATTATATTACTATTTTAAAAATAAAAATAGTAATATGATCAATCAAGTCAAAAAAAAAAGAAAAAAGAAAGAAAAAAGAAAGCTATAAGAAAACCTAAACTTAAAATAAAAAATATATAAAATGTATAAAACAAGAAACACTTACAGTTAATTTCTTTTGGAATCACATCTGCAAAAAAAAATATTGATAATACTATAAACAAAAAATATAACAACAAATAAAACAAATTGCAAAAAAACACTATTGATAATATTTGATATAAAAAAAAAAATTAGGTATTCCTTTAAAAATAGCAACAGCAGTTAGTGAGTGATTTGAACTTGTTTAAAATACAGTTTAGAAAATGGTGGACGGTGGACTTGCTTGGCCTGTAGCAGTTGTACAACTTAATTATCATTATTTATAACATTGAACAAATTAAGTTACTAGCTGTCATAAAAATATAAATTAGAATAAAATTATTAATAGCTTTTGAAATTGTTATTTTATTGCTATAAACTTTTAAATACAGATGTGTTATCATTATAGCCAATGTAGTTTTATATGTCATTGTAATTCTATATATTATCAGTTAAAAAACGTTCCATAAACTTCCTATTTAATATATAAACCAATAAATAAATAAATAAATATAGTAAACATATACAAATAAAGTTAAATTTTTAAGAAAAAATAACTTCATCACTATTTAAATTGAATACTTTAAAAATAGAATTTTTAAATTTTAAAAGTTTTACAGTTTTCAATAAATCATTAAACACTTTTGCACTTGTAAAAACTATTTTTACATGCTTCAGTTTTGCAACTTTTTATTGATAATATTATTTTGTGCGGCTTTAAAATGTTTAAGACCTGGAAAAAATCATTTAAAAAGTTAATGTATGTTTTTCCAGTTAAACATTACCAAAAAGTTCTATATCTTATTTACAACACTTCCATGCTCTAAAAACTTAAATTTAAATTAAAAATTTAACAAACATTTAACATTTAGATATTCTAGTTAAAAATGTAAACAAAAATTTTTACTGAACCGAATGTATTTATCTCATTTTTTTAGTTAAAAAATAAATAAATGAATAACTAACTACAATAACTAATTTAGTTGTGTAGCAGCATTTAAATTGTAACAGTATTTTAATTGGTATTTAAACAATAGATCTAGAAAGTGTGCGGGAATTTAACACATGTAATGCCAATCAATTTCCAACCATTTGTTATAAAAATTGAAAGTAAAATATAAACCTAAGAAAAAAAACTTACCAATCACATGATTCAAAGATATCTTTTCAGTATTTGAATTTGTCAAGTTAGCTAAGTACTTGATAAAACTATTCTCATTTGTATTTAATAAACCATATATAATTGAAAAACAGTCTTTTAACTTTTGATTTTCCATAATCTTTTTCCCGCTATAACTATAGTATGCATGAACAGAGACACATAGCTCTATCATTGCTGTCTGACAAAACCGATAATGATAACCAAAATTTGTTTCAATCTTTTCAATAAAACCACTTTTCATTAAAAACACCTTTTCAAGGAGCCCACTTTCCATTTGATCAAAACCACTGATAAAAGTTTGGATTTCTATATCGGAAAAAGTAGTTTTATTTTCAATAAAAAAAATATATGCTATTTTACATATGTTTAAAATACATTGCTTGTTTAGATTATTTTCCATTATTTTGAAAATTGGTTCATGATTTTCATTAAAAATGTGTCTTTGAAAAAAGTATAAAAAATTATATGCATACAAATCTGTCATGGTGAGATTTATAAAGTTATATTTTACTTTTAAATCAGCAACAATTGTACACATACATGATAAAAAAAAGGGTACTTTTGCCATGGTTTTTGCAATCGAAGACTCTTTTAACATAGTTTTCACTCTGCATTTTGTTTTTTTTATTAAATTATTCCTCAAATAATATTTTATTCCATTTTCATTATAACCCATAACTCTAATGGTTAACTTATCTTTATAACGCGTGACCACATTTTCATATTGTGATATTGTATTTACTCTTCCTGATATCACAGCTTTGTATTTATAAATTTCTGTAAAGACATTAAGAATAGGAATTTCTTGTGAACTACAGTGTGTATTGCTTATTAATTGGTCAAAGTATTTAAATTCGTTTAAGCCATCAATTATAAACATAATTGATGGTTGAGATTGCATGAAATCTAGAGAAATATTATAACCTTTTAAAATATCTTTGTAGAAAACATCAAGTAATTCATTAATATTAGAAATATTTTCATACAAATTAAGTTGTTTACACTCCAAGTAAAACACTAAATCAATATTTTTCCAAATTAAACCATTTGACCAATCTAGTAAAAATTTTCTAAGCAACCATGTTTTACCAATAGCAGCAATACCAGATATTAGAAATAAAGACAGATCTTTTAAATGCTTTTCAAATAGAATTGATGTATAACTCATTTGTTTCTTTAAAAATTGATCTAGCTCTGCAATATTAATTGCATCTTTTTGGACTTCAACTTCATCAACAACATAAAGATCAACAAATTTATCTAAAAAGTTAACTTGATAAGGTTTGTTTAATTGTGGTTGAATTTCCTCAATTGTTTTATAAGTTTCGAGATAAAAATTTTCAGTGCATCGCTCAAGAAATCTAATGAGAAAAAGCAATAAAAATAAATTTATAAAAGTTTCTGTTATATTTTAAAACCAAAAAAATATAGCTACATTAAAGAAGAAAAATAAAACTGTGAAGGTAAATAGAAATAACATGGTTTATTTTAAAACCTTTCTCTCAAAAATTCAATGGTCTACAAGTGATTTACAATGTATTCAAAGAAAACATTGCAGAAAAATTTAAAAATAATTTTATAGACTGATATTGATTGTTTTAAATTTCAAAATTCAATAAAATTTAACTAGGATATATCTAAGTAAAAAAAAAAACTATCAATACTTACAAATAATATTGTAAATAATATTACTTAAAACATTATTAATATATAAAAAAAAACTCAACTAAATAAGTCATGCTAAATTGTTTTAAGTAAATAAAAATTTAATTTTTTTTTATATTTTAATTGATTTATTTTAAATTTTATATGATACATTATCAACTATAAATTACAATTATTATATAAATTTGATTGCAATGTTATAAAGAAATTAAATTATTTCATGTCTTTATGTTAATGGTGAAAATTTTTTAATGTTTAGAATTAGACTTTAACAAAAAATCAAAGTAAGAAATAAAAATTAAAACATGGATTTTTATAAATAGAATTAAAAACTACCTGTCTTGACTAAATTACTTTTTTCAATTTCTTTTGATGAACGTACTAAATTATGTACTAAATGTTTAAAAACAAAGTAATTCAAAAAAAAAAAAAAAAAAGAATAAAAAGACTTGAAAAATGACTGAAATAATAGCTTTTACTTTAAAGATAAAAAAATATATATATTTATATTACTTTGAAGATCTTCCAATGTTTTCATCAAATCGTGTTTCTCCATAGTTTGCAAAGCATTTTTTAGTTCATTTAATGAGGGATTTTCCTTTTCTGTCCATTTGGTCAACATTTGATATGCTTTATCACAACAATTTTTAGATTCAATATCTATCACATCTAAATAGCTATCTAAAATTTGTAAACATCGTCCAAGGTCTTTCCAATCTACTCCAACACTTCGACTAAATAGATACCTATTCTGTTGATTTTGAAGAATGTTTTCATCCATTTTAACTAGAATGTCAAATTTTTAATCAAGACTTTTCATTAAAATTAAGGAAACAGTAAAATTGTCAGTTGTACTAATTGTATAATTGAGGACCATCAAAGAGAAATATATAGATGTTACAATAATCAATCAAATACAAAAATAAAAGTACAAACTATTATATAAACTGTGCCAAACTCAGCAAAAGTTTAAAACAATTCACAAGCCTTACTTTAGAGTAGTGTATAAAAATACTACATTGGGCCAAACTAGACTGCTTTGGAGTTTGAAAACTTATTTCATTTGAGGCTGAGTCATTATAGCCAAATTGATTTGACTTTATGACTGAATTGGTCGGAAATGACAATTTTTTGAAAGAAAAAATAAGGAGATTAAAGGAGAAAACGATTACAATAAAAACAGAATCTTTCTTTTTTCCATAAGTTTTAAATATAAACAGATAAACTATTATAAATAAATATATATAAATTTATTCTTCTTTTCAACAAGCTTTATTTTTTTTTAATCATATAGCTTATTTTTGCAAGTAACTTGTTTTAAAGCATTAGATTTTTATATCAGCTTAAATGTATCTAAATATAAAAGGTCATTATCTGTATATATGAGGTCATCTAATTCATTAGATAATGACTTCACATTTATTGAGTAATATGAACTAAAAAACTATTCAAATTAAAGACATAAACACAAGGCTTTATCATTTAAAGTCTCAATATCAGATGTCTTTCAAATTTCAGACTCTTTCAATATCCTCTATTACTTTTCTTTTGCTTCCACCAACTCTGTATTTTGACAGGACCTTTGAACTTTGATCATCAAAATACTTCTTTCTCGCCTATTTGCAACTTTATTTCAACTTTATGTGCCATTAGGGTGTCCTGTTTCTGCCTTTTTTTAATTTTGAGTTAAACTTTTATGAGAGGTGCATAATGATTAAAATAATTAAAATAATTATTGTAAAATTTTAGGACAATCAAACATTATTTAGGGGTAGCACAGTTAACTAATTTGAGTAAATTGTAGTTTTCAAGCCTACTTTTCAATATTTTTCAAAATTTGGTTCTTTTATCCGATGAAAGACACCTGTTTGCGATGATTCTCAACAATATAAAGTATGTATTGTAACTGCTTTAAATCTTTGACTTTGATTTTAATGTCTTGGATCAGCTTGACTCCTTGTTCAGCGCAGTCATCAACCATTTCTAAAAACTTTTTTAACATAGTTATAGTCTTTCATCTTTGTCCAATGTTCAACAGGTAATTGTAACCAATCCACTTGATTAGATTTCATTTTAAGTAAATCAAACAGTAGCCAGGAATCTGGCCTAATCAGCAACACAAAATCAGGAATTTTATTTAGTTCAATTTGTGGAGATATTGGTTTTCCAAGCTTAATTTTCTATTTCTTTTGATGCTAAACAATTTTAAAGCTGTGGCAGAATGTTTGATTGCAGAAACAGACTCATCAAACAAGATGAATACAACAAACTGTTGGGTTAAATACCAAAGATGCCTGTAACACAACTAAAAAGCAGCATCCACCGCTGTACTGTCAAATTTGCGATACCACTGCATGCCAGCGATGTACTAGTGATCAACATTTAGTGCAATATTAGAAATTCCACTAGCAAAAAAACTTTTGCTAAGAACAATGCAATGAAATCTGCCATTCTCTTAAGCTTATAGTGTTGGTCCTGGTTGAGTCAGTTAATTTGTTTGTCTAACATTACAAATTTAAAGATGTATAGTTCATTGTGCATGAATCTAGCATGATGATAAGCGCCAGGTTTCTTGAACCGAAAAGTCTTTTCATCTTATAAATCTCCGCCAAGATAAACAGTTATCAGTTCAATAAGTTCCTGATAATCTTCTCTTGGAAATGTATTTTTTTTTGTAGACAATTGGTGACCCATTTTAAGACAAGTGTTGCTTGACATTTGATTGGGTTATCTCAATCTGCAGGAAATTTAAACTGAATAATATCTTTTTTTTTGTGGGAAATTAAGTCCCAGTTATCCTGAAGAATTTTAAGTAGTGGCTCATTTGGCCCACTATGGTTTCCAATAATTGCTTCAAGTAGCTTCCATGATTTAAAATGGTTGATAAACTGATCTTTTAGGGCTACACCAGTAGCATTTGGAATTATAGGAATCCTGAGAACTTTAAGATTTGAATCATCAGCCAAACCATCTCATCCACTTGCAAGGATGGTAACATGTTCTTCTTTTTTTTCTGCAAGAAAAAAATAAAATTTATCTTAAGATTATTATTCTTCGTAAAAAAGCAATGTCTGAATAGTTTTACTGTAAGCAACAAAACAAGTTTGCTATTCCAGTCACCACATGAATGATGTGAGCGGTTGCATTCATAATTATATTTTAATTGATGAAATCGACTTTCTCTTTTTTTTTTTTTATCATCCTCACTAAGAATAGTTTCATTTTCTTGAATTTCCAGACTTTCAATAGTACAATCATGTACTTTTTTCTTCATTTGGTTTACTACAATTTACTCAAATTAGGTAACTGTGCTAAATAATGTTTAATTGTCCTAAAATTTTACAACAATTATTTTTTTATCATTATGCACCTCACATAAAAAGTTAATTCAAAATTAAAAAAAAAGGCAGTAACAGGACATCCAAATGTGCCATAAATAAATAAACTATAATGTATTTCATTGATCAGACTTTTATTGCTCCTAAATCCTGGTTCAACTTAATCTTATCTATGATTTGCATACATCTTGAAATCATTGTATTTCTCAAAAAAGAGTTCAAACTATCCTTTCTGTCAATAATTTTTATTTTGTTTACTCTACAAGTAAACACTGTGCTTATGGGGCATCTTAGTGTTCAATCAATCCTACTTTTTTTACTAAAACTAATATACATACTTAAATATGCCTAAATACAAAGTATTTTTAAGTAAATTTAGTTAAATAATGAAAACTTCTTGGTTACAGAAAGATAAAAACCTAAGTCTTGTTAAATGCAAAGTTTGTTTGTCCCTTGTCTTAATGTCTGCTGTCTGAAGTGCCTTATTCTCATACATTAATAATTAAATTCCTTAAAAAGTGTGATTTTTTTCTTTTACCAGTATATATACATTATTGCCAGTTTAGGATGTCAAATGCTGGATCTTCTAGATTCATTGCATGGGTTGTGCTTATGTCTCATTGACTCTTTGCATGGTTTTTAATTGTGTTTCTATGATACGCAACTCATTCTTTTTTGAGGATCCTAATTCTATTATGAGGTTATTCATTCTATGAGGATATAGCTCTAAAACTAAGGCCGGCTGGTATTCAAGTTTCCCAAACTCTGTGGTAGCTCTTAGAGAGGCTGATTCTATTAACAGCTGTAAAAAATTAGAGTATTAACAGTGCCATGTTGCCAATGGATGGTTTTCCTCTTTGTACTTTTGATGTGTATAGTTGAGGTCAAATTTGCCAACCTAACTGAGGAGCTAACAGTTTAGCTAAAAGAAATCAGCTAAAAATTGCCAACCTCAATATATATATATATATATATATATATATATATATATATATATATATATATATATATATATATATATATATATATATATATATATATATATATATATATATATATATATATATATATACATGGTCTGGAAATGGTCGCACTCAATTTTAGACCACACAAATTATGTTTTATGTATTATGTATTTAAATTTATGTATGTTATGTATATTATGTATATTTATTTATATATGTCCGAAACTTTTTGTGGCGCTAAAACAGTTAAATTTGTAAATATTCATTTGTAATCAATTGTTTTGATATTAGCAAAGCGTTTTTTAACTAAACAATGATTTACTTTTATTAACTGTTTATAAAAAGAAATTTTAATCTTATTTTTCAAATTATATTAAGTTAAATTAGTTTTATTTGGAATTATAATAAATAGTAATATAAATAATAATATAGACTGCAACCATTGGAAATAGGGTCGGCATTCAGCAAGGCCGACCTTAAAGTGTTTGAGGTCAGCAAAAAATTGCCGGCCTCGTTTCTATGTTTTATGGTAAAACCTTTGTATCAACTTTTTTCTGCCGACCTTTAAAAAATTGAGGTCAGCAAATTATTACCAACCACATATTTCCTAATTCTGAGGGTTGAGATTGATTTTTTATGCTTTAAATGTAAGCCTTTTTAAAGTGTGTATATATATATATATATATATATATATATATATATATATATATATATATATATATATATATATATATATATATACCACGCTAATAGTTTGTTTTACAATTTGACCACCGCTATTTTGATGTTTTAACAATTTGTTACATTATGAATAACTTTTAATCATTGATCTTTTCTAAAGTTTTTATTTTACGCAGAGACTTTAAATAAAAACATAAAATGAAATATAATGAAATTTTTTTTTTTAATTACGATAGGAGTGAATGAGTTTAAATCTTTTATAATAATTTTTAAATTTGAGACATGAAACGCTTATTAATAAAGTTACAAATTGTTTGTAATGCTCAAATTAAAATCAAATTAAATGGTTAGTTTTTTTCTTTCTATTCTTATGAACGAAAAAGCTTAAAACCTTTTTTAAACATGACTTATAAATTAGAGCATGAAATAATTAAAAGTTACTACTTTAAAATGACTACGCTATTTTTTAAACAATTTTTTTTTTTGCAACTATTTTGAAAAAATAAATGTTTATACGATTTAAAAATATTATGCTAAACACTTTTTAATAAATTTGATAAAACTTGTTCATTTAATAAACAAAACAATTAGTAGTAATTTGTTTCACTTAATTTAAAAAAATTTTGTGTAACTTTAATAAAACATTTAAAAAGATAAGTTTTAATAACATTTATTTCAAACACAATTAAAAATGTAACAAAAAATTTTGCATCATCAATAGAATAAAAATCGTGGTCAAGTTATCAAAAATAAAAATAAATTATATGGTCAGCAAAAGCGCTCAATCGAACGCCATT